TTCCCTCTAGTCTTACACTGCTAAATTAGGGGCGGCTAGCGAAGATAGCCCTCGTGTAGCTTTGCGCGAAATTCAAAACAAACAAACAAACAAAAGACTGACCTAAAAAAAACTGAAATAAATCCGTTAAAGAAATTACTGGAATTCAAAAAATAACATGTGAGGCTAAAAAAACATGAAGCCTTCTAATATTTTGTTGGAAAACAAAAATAAGTGAATGAAAAAAAATGGTGACCAAAAAAAAAACTTTGGAGCATAGTAATAACAGAAAAGGGGATCACGTGTTATGAGAAAAAATAACATATTCCTATGGTGAAACTGGAAGCCATGAAGCTTTTAATAGGAGTGGTTAGGTTTAGCATATAGTTTTGGAGGAAGCACTAACAGAGAACATATAATTGCCATTCGCGAAACTTGCATTACAACTAGAAAACAACCTTCAAATAAAAGAAATACTTTATTATATATATATATATATATATTAACACGTTCGTTACTGCATAATGAATTAAGAATAGAAAAAAAATAAACATTCACGAGGTGCCAAGGAGCAGTTACAGTGTCGCAAACTCATATGCCGCTAGAGAAATTTGGCTTTGAAAACATAATTGTCTGTGACCCATGGGTGTGTCACGCGATCCATAACTAAAAAGTCAGTTGTGGGGCACGTGGCAGCTAACGTGTTAAATAGATGAGTCCTAATTTTATACAATATATACTTTGTTTTAAAGTATTTATTTTGCTTTCATACGGTATCTATAGACTTTGACTTTAAAACAGGAATATATATAACGAAATGACATATTTAGGCTATCGATATAGTGAAATTCAAAACTGTAAAACTGGAAAGAGATTAAGAAAAACGAGTAAAAAGTCAAGTTCAGCTTAGTTCGGGATAATCGAAAAGTCATTTTAGACAACTTTGTGAAGAATATGATTATCTGAGTTATACTGAACAACCTTAAGTTAAGTATTACGTTCGAATGTTTACGGTAAAACCCCCCTTTTTTTTCTCGCTTCTTTTAAGATTTTATTTCGCTTCCAATTTATCGGTCGGGAATAGGAACTTATTATGCTGTCCTTAACGTATCTTTAGACACCAGGGGGAAACTTGCTGGAGCACAAATTCTATAAGGACATTACTCAACTCCTAGAAAAAAAACAAAAAACTTAATCTATTAGAATATAAACTGTGTTCGCGAAGTAAGGATCTATGTAACTATTTTCACGCCTCTTTACTTGACCTATACAGTTTAATCTATTTATAGATATCTACACACAAGTTACTCAATTAGAGATTTGCCTTAAGCCTATTGTCAACCTGTCATTGGAAGTTATTGTGATGCTTCTGTACAGCGGTAGCATGTGTTTGGAATTAGCGATAAAACAGTTTGTATCGCTTTCAATAGAAAAGCAGGTGCAACTGACATCACTTCTGCAACCAGTATCACGTTGTATTGAAAACAGTTCTAGAAAGAATGTTTGGGGTAATAAAAGAATGGGGGAGGGACATAGCTGTTCTGACCGTATTATATGCGATTGTCTACATATGTGAGTGTGTAGACACACACGACATTGGTGTGGGGTAAATGATATTTGGGCCATAATTCGATATAGCCATTTGTACGTAGTTAATAATAGTTTGATCATAAATTTAATTAAACTGTAAACTAAATTGTTTACATCTAATATATTGATGTTGTTTTAAACTACATTCAGCTCAATATCTGTCTTTGAATTGAGTAAAATAATTGTTAATGACATTTTCAGCAAACATGACACCTTCAGTAATGAAATTGTTACATTTGTTGTACGTCTTATACTCCAGTGTATACGTACATTAACCAGTAAAATATGCATGACCTAGTTAGTAGCGTGTCGGGCTGCGGATCGAAGGGTTCGATACGTGATGCTGCAGAACATGCCACGCACTTCCAGCTCTAGTCTCTCGATAAAAGTGACAGTCAATCCGTTATTCGGTTCAAAGAGCACAAAGTTTTTGTGTGTGTGTGGGAGGGTGCTGCTGACATATTGCTTTGACACTGGTTAGTAGTTCAAATTTATAGACGCCTACGCGTGAACCCTAGGGGTCTGTGACTGACCTTTTAGCCCACTTGCTCAGAAGGCGCTATTCAGGTTGAAAATTCTAATTTACACGTAAATTACTGTCAGATATTGAGAATGAAATATATATATATATATATCTAATATACTTTGCTGTTGTGTTGGATTGAAGTTGTCAGGTTTTTTTGTCAAATGTTTAGAATGAAGTCGGTGTATAAAACATATTGGTTTAATATTTAATACATTTTGCTGTTGTACTGGATTGAAGTTATCAGTTTTTTTTTTGTCAAATGTTTAGGGTGAAGTCGTTGTATAAAACATGTTGGTTTAATATCTAATACATTTTGCTGTTGTGCTGGATTGAGGTTATAAGATTTTTTTCGTCAAATGTTTAGAAAGAAGTCGGTGTATAAAACATATTGGTTAAAAAAGAAGTAGTCTTCGATGAAAAAAAACCTAAATCTTTATAAACATTATATTTACAAGCATAAAACACTCGTGCTCCGCTGCAGGATCCAAAGTGTCAACCGTGATTCACAGGGCTCATTCATGCCCAGAGATTCATGCCCAGAGTTTCAGTTTCCCTTTGTACCCTTTTCGTTTCCGAAAAGATTTCCCCGTTAGGACAATGTACAGTGATTCTCAACCAGGGGTAAATTTACCCGAGAGAATACTAAGAATGTGTGTATGTGTGCTGTTTTTGTGTGCAAAACCTGAATAATATTTTTTTCCGACCTTCTTGTTTTTCTGTCCCTTTATGGTGGCTATGAATTTTTTGTATGTGAGTAAGGGGTTAAATGGAGAAATACATCAAGCCGAGGGGATTAATGATGGAGGAAAAGTTGAGAATCCCTGCCTTAGCACGTGTGTTAAGCTTGGTGCACTAATTTGTAAGTGGAATCCAGAGTGAGGATTCGGGAACACAAATACCTTACGAGATGCAACAGCTACTCCTACACATTCTTCATGCCCGGATACATTTTAGTCTCCCTGGGGTCCTCCAATACTTGCTGATTGTGTGTTTCTTTGTTTTCTGGGTCCTCCAATACTTGCTGTTTGTGTGTTTCTTTGTTTTCTGGGTCCTCCAATACTTGCTGTTTGTGTGTTTCTTTGTGTGTAACTGAGAGCTACATTCTGTGAACAAAGTTTTTTGGGGGGGGGGGGGGGGGTTAAGTCACATAAATAAGGACATCCCTGGGCCACCCCCAAATCTACTACCATGTTTGATCGCGCTAGCTTTAAAAATGTGGGAGGGGTTAACGGACAAACAAATGAATAAATAAATCACAATACACATTAAAAATGAATATAAAATTACAACCAATTCAAAGTTAATAAGAAATATTTTACAGGTGCTGCTACCTATTGTTTAAAGATTGTCTTTAGGGGCCATTTAAGAAAAGAAAACTTTAATTTCTATTTTTAACCATGCAATATGGGAGAAATTCCTAATTTTATACTTATGTCCGTCTCTGTGTCGGTGATTAAAATTTATAATATACACGTTCATAATTTGGGTGAAAGTTTGGTGTGAGCCACGAAGCAAAATGCTTTCAGTGAAACAGACCAAAAATAATTGTTTATTAAACGATAATAGATGTTATAGACTATAATAGAGCTTATAGTTTCCTAAATCAAAGAAAAAAAAGATTGTTTTTCTCTCAAACATCTTTCTTTCTATAGTGCACAGCTGTAGTAATACTTTACAGTTGTAGTAAAATGTTTACACAAACGATTTATGTGAACATTTTTAGATGTTCAACTAAATGGAATATTCTGAGAGTTAGTTAATTAAATAAACAATTTATTGTAAATGGTGATCTGACAACTACAAACTTTGAGGATGGTGATCTGACAACTACAAACTTTGAGGATGGTAATCTGACAACTACAAACTTTGAGGATGGTGATCTGACAACTACAAACTTTGAGGATGGTGATCTGAGAGCTACAAACTTTGAGGATGGTAATCTGAGAGCTACAAACTTTGAGGATGGTAATCTGAGAGCTATAAACTTTGAGGATGGTGATCTGAAAACTACAAACTTTGAGGATGGTAATCTGAGAGCTACAAACTTTGAGGATGGTAATCTGAGAGCTATAAACTTTGAGGATGGTGATCTGACAACTACAAACTTTGAGGATGGTGATCTGACAACTACAAACTTTGAGGATGGTGATCTGAGAGCTACAAACTTTGAGGATGGTGATCTGACAACTACAGACTTTGAGGATGGTGATCTGAGAGTTACAAACTTTGAGGATGGTGATCTGACAACTACAAACTTTGAGGATGGTGATCTGAGAGCTACAAACTTTGAGGATGGTGATCTGAGAGTTACAAACTTTGAGGATGGTGATCTGACAACTACAAATTTTGAGGATGGTGATCTGAGAGCTACAAGCTTTGAGCAGTAGTCTGAACCTAGTGTTCTTCACCAACTGGCGTGGATAATCAGCCACTAAGGCCTGATGGCTTCTAACGTAGGTTAATATTTTATCCAATTTTGTGACAGTCGAGTTTCTGAGTTCTAACAACTACTAATTTGAAGCACTATTCTACAGTAGCCTGATAACTACTGACGTAGGAATTTTTTTTTCAATGCCGTGTTTTGACATTTCGGTTTATTTGTTCTGAGAGCCACTAACTTGGACCATTCTTTTACTTTTTTCTCACATCTACTAACGTAGGATAGTTTTTTATCTGATATTTTGACAGCTCTTTTCTTTCTGTGTTTGACAGCTACAAAGTTGGAGCATCGTTCTACAAAGACCTGCTAGAGTATTTTTCTAATCCAATTTGATGACAGTCTGGATTCTATTGTTCTGAGAGATACTAATTTTTAGCATAATTCTTCTGAGGTCTGATAGTTTCTAACGTAGAATAATATTCTATCCAAGTTTCTGAGAGCTATTGGCATGGGATTGTATTTTAAATATAGTATTATGACTGTTAATTTATGTGAAAAACTACTGACGTTGTAAAGGATTTTGAAGAAATTATTTTACGACTGCTTGTTCAAAAGGTAACAACTTGCCCGTTACGTTGGCTGAAACTAAATAAAACGGTATAGAAAATGTAGAGTTACAACCACCCAGCTAGTTGTTATATAGTAGTCCCAGTTTCTCCCCTTTTATTGAAGGACATCTATAACTTTTTACAACCCTTAAAAGTATTAGTTAGATCTTGGTCTTGCTACCTTAATCAAACATCCAATTACTTCAGAGTGAAAAAAAAATTACTTTGAAACCAAAATCGTCTAAAGAAATTTTGAAAAGCGAATCTGGTAAATGTTTTATTATTTCTCGTATTCTTGATATGATGTATAATCTTGTTTAGTGAAAGAAATCCTGTAAGTTGATATATTTTACCTACTAAAGCATCCAGATTTAAAGTACGTTCAAATAAAAATCACATTAAATTAAATTTTGCTCATTTTATGACACTGTAAAAAAAAAGTTATGAAATAATTAAAATCTGTATAAGTATAATAGTACTGTCTGTTGTATGTCCATGTAACTACTTCGCAGGGTGTGGATGGATCTTGCCCAAAATTGGTATGGAGGTTAGTTAGATCTATGGAGATATACATACACATTTTCAGTTTTGTATTTTTCGCTTTGCGGTTTTTATGGGCGTTTATGCGTTTTTTTTCCACTACTTTGCCCCCTGTTGATGGACCTTCACTAAATTTGGGATGGAGGTTTGTTTGGTCCATGTGAAGATAGTTGCAGTTTCACATTTTGTGTTTTGCAGTTTTTATGGGCGATTTTGCGTTTTTGTTTTTTTACAATTACATACAAGGGAAGCAACTTTTCATGTCCTAAAATATCCTTTCATTAATCATGAATTTACATAACTTCCGTCCAGGGTACGAGCACTCCAGCTAGTTTATTATATTTTAGTTACAAGAAGGAAAACAACCATTGTTATAGAATCACCTCAATGAACCTTTATTTATTTCTATGCAAATGAGGCATCTAATAATCCGTCACATGATCTGAAATGCAGTTAAATGATTGGTCATCCAGCCTATGCCTGTATATAATATTTAGTATAAGTGATTTTACGTCTTTACAGATATTTCCATTCGCCAGCAGGAGCAGCCTGGCACTAAATATTGTATGCTCATCATTGTAGTGTTGGAAAGGCACTGACGTATCCTCAGCCATTCCTTTGAAAAGGCTGTTTTATTGGTATCTTTAATGTTCTGAAATCGCTTTATTGGATGTGGAGTTAATTTACTGGATGTGTGGAGTCAGTTGACAGTTTGTGAAGTCACTTTACTGGATGTGGAGTCACTTTACCGGATGTGGAGCCACTTTACGGGATGTGGAGCCACTTTACTGGACGTGGAGTCACTTTACGGGATGTGGAGCCACTTTACTGGACGTGGAGTCACTTTACTGGATGTGGAATCACTTTACTGGA